GCCCGAAAAAGCACAGTCACCCAGATTCCCAGACCGCAGACCCCCCGGCAGGTACGCGAGTTCCTGGGAACAGCTGGATTCTGCCGCCTCTGGATTCCAGGTTTTGCAACCCTAGCGGAGCCCCTATACCCGCTGACAAAACAAGGGAACCCCTTCGAGTGGGGGGAGACTCATCAGAAAGCCTTTGACGACATTAAAAAGGCTCTTCTCTCGGCGCCGGCATTGGCCTTACCAGATGTGGCCAAGCCCTTCACTCTGTTCATAGATGAAAGAAAGGGAGTAGCCAGGGGGGTCCTAACTCAAACCTTAGGCCCCTGGAAGAGGCCGGTAGCCTATTTATCCAAGAGACTAGACCCAGTGGCTAGGGGGTGGCCAGGCTGTCTAAGAGCAATTGCAGCTACTGCCCTGCTTGTAAGAGATGCGGACAAACTTACCTTGGGGCAGAAACTAACTGTGGTGGCCCCACACACTCTCGAGAGTGTTATCCGGCAGCCACCGGACCGGTGGCTATCCAACGCCCGGATGACTCACTACCAGAGTCTCCTGCTAAGTGAAGATCGAATCCGCTTCGGGGCTCCGGTAGCTCTCAACCCAGCAACCTTACTACCGGAAGTAAATCCTGAGAGCAAAGAAGTCCTACACTCATGCCGTGACATTCTGGCAGAGGAAACAGGGCCGAGGAGAGACCTCAAAGATTCCCCCTTGCCAGAGCCTCAACTCACCTGGTACACGGATGGAAGCAGCTACCTCTATGAAGGTAAGAGGGTGGCGGGAGCGGCTGTGGTCAGCAAGGACCGGACTATCTGGGCTAGTAGCTTGCCCGAAGGGACTTCGGCCCAGAAGGCTGAATTAATTGCTCTGACACAGGCTCTCAGGCTGGCAGAGAGCAGCCGGGCTAATATTTATACTGACAGTCGTTATGCTTTTGCCACTGCTCATGTGCACGGGGCTATATACCGTCAGAGAGGTCTCCTCACCTCAGCAGGAAAGGAAATTAAAAATAAAAAGGAAATCCTCGACCTCCTAGAAGCCATTCATGCCCCCCAAGAGGTAGCTATTATCCATTGTCCCGGCCACCAGAAAGGGACCTCGGAAACAGCTATAGGAAACAGGAAAGCGGATGCCGAGGCAAGGCAGGCCGCTCTAGGGCCCCGGCTACTCGCCCTCGCTGTTGGCCCCGCAGCACCACAGCCAGAGACCCTCCACTACACCCTAGAGGAGGAAAAAGACCTGCTTAAAAGGCCAGAAAAATACCATAAGGACAAACTAGGAGTGTGGAGAACTGCAGGGGAAAAAATGGTAGTACCAAGGGCGGCAGCCACTGCCTACCTCCAACAACTGCATCGCCTTACCCACCTGGGGGCCAAACACCTCAGCTCCACCAGCCGGGCAACGGGACACTATGTCAAAGGACTCGATCGCCTTTCAGAAGAAGTAGTTAAGCAATGCAAGGCGTGTCAGCTGGTAAATGTACATTCATCCCAGGTCGGGACCGGACACAGGCTCAGGGGAGACCGGCCCGGGAGTTACTGGGAGGTGGATTTTACAGAAGTGAAGCCCGCTCGATACGGTTATAAATATCTTTTAGTTTTCATAGATACCTTCTCAGGTTGGGTAGAAGCCTTCCCTACCAAAAGAGAAACTGCAACTGTGGTCGCCAAGAAGATCTTAGAAGACATCTTTCCACGGTTTGGAATTCCTAAGGTAATTGGATCAGACAACGGTCCAGCTTTCGTTGCCCAGGTAAGTCAGGGAATGGCCAAGATACTAGGGGCGGATTGGAAATTGCATTGTGCTTACAGGCCCCAGAGTTCAGGTCAGGTAGAAAGAATGAATAGAACATTAAAAGAGGCTATGACTAAATTGTCCTTAGAGACTGGCGTGGCAGACTGGACGGTCCTCCTTCCCTTTGCCCTTTTCCGCGCGCGAAACACCCCAGGCCCCTTGGGGGTGACACCTTTCGAGGTTTTGTTTGGGGCCCCTCCGCCCCTAGCCGCTGACCCTTGGTCCGTGCCCACAGACACTCACACCCCTCAATCCCTGCTTGCCAGGCTGAAGGCCCTCGAGACTGTCCAGAAGGAGGTGTGGACTCCCCTGGCCGCCCTCTACCAACCAGGAGAACTGCAAGTCCCCCACCAGTTCCAGGTCGGAGACTTTGTGTACATCAGACGCCATCGGGCCGCTAATCTCGAGCCGAGGTGGAAGGGACCCCACCTGGTATTGCTGACAACCCCAACAGCGGTCAAGGTAGACGGTGTAGCTGCTTGGATCCACGCCTCCCACGTCAAGCGGGCACCCCCATCAGACGACACCGATCATGGATGGACTGTGGAGAAGACAGACAACCCTCTCAAGCTACGGATTTGCCGCCGCCCTCTTCCTGCTGAGCCTGCCGCTGATAAGTAGCAACCCCCATGCCCCAAAGAGACTAACTTGGAGGGTAATGTCCCCCCACACCGGACAGACGGCCTGGTCGGTCACCAATATAGCACCTAAAGGGACATGGTGGCCAGACTTAACGCCAGACCTCTGCGCTATGGCAGCAGGATACAGACTATGGGACCTCCCTGAGAGAACAGTAGAAGAGACTAAAGCAGGTATAGAGACCCGAGCTTACATAGGAAAAGGAAGAGATTTGCAATTTGGAGTTCACTGTAGTTATCTGGGGGCCCGTGAGCGTCTTACGATGACCCAATTCTATGTATGCCCCAAAGACAGGCAGGGACATAGAAAGAATTGTGGATCTGAACGAGAGTATTTCTGTGCAGAATGGGGATGTGAGACAACTGGTACTGGATATTGGATCAGAGGGCCCCCCGAGTGGGACCTCATCCAGGTTCGGAGAAATGAGAGCCAAACCTCCGGACATAGGGGTTGGGTTAACGCCCTGAATATCTCCTTCACCTCAGCTGGGCGGTCATACGACCTAAACAAGTGGCGCTGGGGAGTGACATGGGGGATCCGGCTGTATAAGGACCAACATGATGATGGCCTCCTTTTTAAGATAAGATTAGATGTACAGGATTACAGGCCACCAGTTGCAGTAGGACCCAACACCGTCTTGTCCAGCCGGCAGCTCCCCACGAAAGAAAGGCCTCTTGCCACCACCACCGTGGCAGGAACTAGCCCAGCCTCCAGGGAGGAACAGGCCAACCCCATAGAACTAGAGACAAACTCAGGTCAGAGGCTATTAGGCTTGGTAGAGGGGGCCTTTAGTTCTTTAAACATGTCCAAGTCTAACCTAACTGAGTCTTGCTGGCTCTGCCTAACTACAGGGCCCCCCTACTATGAGGGCATAGCCTTCCAGGGAAACTATACCAACACCACCAGCCATGACCACTGTTCGTGGGGACAGCAGGGGAAGTTGACCCTTACTGAGGTCTCAGGGCAAGGCACATGTATAGGACAAGTGCCAAAGGACCGCCAGCATCTCTGCAAGGAGAACCTGGCATATCCCTCCTCTGCAAGCTATTACTTAGTGCCCCCAACAGGGGGATGGTGGGCCTGTAGTACGGGACTTACTCCATGTTTAGCAGCCCAGGCCTTTAACCGTTCTCAAGATTATTGTATCCTTGTCCAACTAGTCCCCAGGATCATGTATTATCAAGCTAATGCATTTGAAAAAGAATTTGACTCCTATTCTCCTTCCCATCGGGATAAACGGGAACTTGTTTCACTGACCTTGGCTGCTCTCCTAGGTCTAGGGGTCGCGGCAGGAGTAGGAACAGGGACAACAGCCCTCATTAAAGGCCCCACCTATACTGAGGAGCTCAGAGCTGCTATAGATGAAGACCTCAAACATATAGAGCACTCCATAACTAAACTTGAGGAGTCTCTAACCTCTCTGTCTGAAGTAGTCCTACAAAATAGGAGAGGACTAGATCTCCTATTCTTAAAGGAGGGAGGGCTGTGTGCAGCTCTCAGGGAACAATGCTGTTTCTACGCTGATCATTCAGGGGTGATAAAGGATTCCATGTCAAAACTTAGGGAGAGATTAGAAACTCGCAAAAGAGAGCGAGAGGCCAAGCAAGGCTGGTTTGAAAGTTGGTTTAACAGCTCACCGTGGTTCACAACCCTGATATCCTCTCTCGTGGGACCCCTGATCATTTTACTCCTCCTTTTGACATTCGGGCCATGCATAGTAAACCGCTTAATCGCCTTCATCCAGGACCGGATTAGTGCAGTTCAGGTAATGGTCCTCCAACAGCGGTATCAGCCTGTACCCTCAAACGTTAGCCTGTAGTTCCATGATTGGAACTTCCCACAAGAAAAGGGGGGAATGTAAGGCCGCTGAAAAATCCCCCTTCCCCCTAGACCAGCTTTTCCAGTAAGCTCTGGTTAATGTAAAGATTAAAGAGAACTTCCCCCTCCTGACCTTTCCCGTAAAGCTCTGGCGCCCTGATCTGGTCATAGCATAGTTATCTTATCACTCCTCGGGATCGGCCTGCGCATACCAGACCACCCTGGCCCCTTAGGAAATGAGTCAACTAACAACAAAGACCTGTCCCTGTAAAAGATGAAATATGAGTTAACTGGTAACCCAGTTCCCTGTTTTCCGGCCACCTGCGTGTGGTTTTTGCCTTTATAAACCCGTGTTCTGCAATTGCTCGGGGCTCCAGTCAGCAGCACTTCCTTTGTGTTGTTGCCTGCCTGCCTGAGAGCCCCTGCGCTGCGCTTGTAATAAAAATCCTCTTGCTCTTGCATCAAGCCTCGGTCTCTGCGTTTGACTTGGGGTCGTCGCCTCCTCTGCTGGACTCTCCGGGGGTCTTAGGGCCCAACAGGACAAAACACAACCCCTTCCCTAGAGGAGATGATTGCGGCTGATGGAGTATTTAGATGGATGAGGGAAGAACAACATGTGCTATGGCAGAAGTGTGATCAACTATAACACTCTGGAGAGAACAACCCCCTGCGGTCAAGGATGAAGCAGAAAAAAAATGTGGCTCGAGAATTAGAACTGTTCTTGACTTTTTCCTATGACTTTATCACCTTCCATCCAGGTTTTGAGACTCTGGGATATTCAGCACCAGCTGTGCATCCAGAGGATAGCGTGCTCTTTCCCCCAAAGCCAGGACTTCAGATGCCTCTTCCACTTTGATGAAGCCCACGGTCGACTTTTCATCTCATGTAATCACCAGCTGGCACTGTTGGCCATGGAACGGGAAGCCAGCAAGAGGGTGAAAAGCCACAAGAGCGCTGTCACTTGTGTTCTTTACCATTCAGGCTTGAGGCAGGTAAGGATGCTGTTCTTTCACCCTCCCAAGGTAGCTCCATATCCAGAGGCTATTTCCTTAATTCCATCCAAGGTCACTGAGGACAGATATAGAAAAAACAAAAACAAAAAACGTGGCAAGGAATTGAATAGGCATGTGCTTTTCTGCAACACTGTGTGTTCAGGTGGTTTTGAAGATGATTCCATTTTCAGCCAGTGACCACAGCAGCACTGACAGAATTATAAGGAGTGATGATATTCCAGCTCACACAAACACAACATTACCGGATCGAACTTACCTTTGTTACCTGCTAGCTTGGGTCCCGATGGCAAATGCAGGTAAACCTGGCTGGAGAATTTTCTTTTATGAACACCATCTTCCTGTATCCCCATGGAAAGCTCTGAAATATGCATGCCATGTAATTAGCAGGGATCCATTTTGCCAGCATATTTTACACCAGAGGCTCGCAGTGGCAGCCCGGAATGTATTCATAATAAAATGATTCAGTTAAATGCGGTGCCACTTGCTATGCAGCTTGAGTGTTGTCTCCTCACCACTTTAATGACGCTCTGCAGCCTTTGCTCATGGGAGTGCTACCTGCATGTCAATGACCAAGCCGGCTCCCCTGGGCAGAGCCTTCTCAGTGGGCAGGAGGGGCAAGCCTGGGGGTATTGGGGAGGGAGCGGCACCCATCTCCCGCCAGGATCACTTCAGGCCCTATTGTAACAGCACAGCAGGAGCCCAGTATCCAGCTTTGGGCCAATTAAACAAGAACTCCAGCTCATTCTTTCCTTCTGCAGAAGCCTCTGCAGTCAGGCAGACAGGAGCAGTTCAGATCTTGTGCAGGGGGCGGAAAGCTCTTTGTTAGTAATGAGCAGTGTGTCATGTCACTACTTCAAACATTGTTTCCTGGTTATTCTAGGAGATAAAAATCCCTTACGCGACAATCCATTTTGAATTCCATCTGGGGGAAATGTTCCCCCGTAAATGTTTTACTGAACTTTATGAAGGCAACCGGTTAATTCGGCTCCCCGGTGGCCGCTGAGCGATGTATTTGTTTCCAGGAGAACATTATGCTAATTGAGATCTGCAAAGTTAAACCGCGAGGCTTGTGCTTAGATGCTAAGATCCTGCATTGCCTGGCCGTAAGATGAGCCATATTCCCTGAGGAATTCAGGAAATGGGACCCAAAGGAGTTCTGGAATTTTCTACTTGGGACAGGAGATAAAGCCACGATAACAAATAGATGCGAGTTTTAGGCAAGGATAGAATATGTGCATGTGGTATATGATGTAGGGAGAATCACTGTACAATTCCGTGTGCACACCTCTTTGTTTTCACTGTTAATAGCATAAATAATTAAAAGCATTGATACATATATAAAGCACATAGAGCTGTGCACCACATACATAAGTGCTTTCTATTAGCTGCTAAGCTATAAAGAAACACTTTTGTGCTGTATTCCATTTTTTAATTATGAAAATGTATTGGCAGTCAAGAGAAAGAAAACAATATCACCCACAGTCCCATAAACCAGTGATATTTGTTACTTCAGAGTAATTAGACAAAGCAAATAAAACAGTTTTGAAGAAATACCAGGAGCCAGGACTGAGGGACACTATTTATTTCAGAGAGGAAGGGAGAGAGAGATAGAAACATCAGTGATGAAAGAGAATCCTTGATTGGCTGCCTCTGCACGCCCCCTACTGGGGATCGAGTCCCCAACCCAGGCATGTGCCCTTGGCTGGAATGAACTCAGGACCCTTCAGTCCACAGGCGGAGGCTCTATCCACTGAACCAAACCAGCTAGGGCAAGACTCCAGTCTTTAAGGGCAGGTCCAGGGTGTCTTCCTGGTGCTCATTGCTCGGTAGGTCCTCACGCAGGATTGTGGAATAAAAATGGGGAAGCAGCCAGGTGACCCTCACAAGGCAAGAGTGGAGCTGAGGGTAATGAAGTAGAGGTAAGAGCTACCCATGGCAAGTGATCAGTTCCTCCCGGGGCTGGGGAGGTGGCATTCAGCAGAGCCCTGAAGCCAGAGTGGAATCTTTAAGCTGAGAAGGAAGTAGTTCCAGACAGAAACCGCAATGCGAGCACCTGCCAAGCGGCTTGAGCACTCAGTGCATTTACGGGGAGGGGTTCATGCTGGCGTGGCCAGTTGGGGAAGGCTTGGCAGATGTTGGCCTTGACGCAGTAAAGGGAGCTGAGAGCCAGATGGTGAAGGTCATTCACCGGCCATACCACAGTCTGGTCTTGGAGAAAATTATTGCTTAAACCTGGGGTTAAAACACTAATTCTTAGCGTGATCTCGGACCCCAGGGGACTCAGATCCTTTCAGGGAATCTGGGAGATCAAAACTATTTTAATCATAATTTTAACTTGTTTTTTGCTTTTTACTCTCATTGTGTCATTAGTGTATAGAGGAGTTTTCTAGAAGCTACGTGATGAGCGATGATATCATTGCTGTGATGTCCAAAGGAATGTGTGCTTCTTATTACTGTGTTTTAATAAATTCTTAGTGTAAATCTCTAATGTAAATTATCTATCTATCTGTCTATCATCATCTACCTATCCATTTCTTCCATATAAATAAAAGTTATTTGAATTCTTCAATAATTTTAAGAGTATAAAGGGACCTCAAGACCACAAGTTTTGAGACACTTTGGGTTAGAGAAATCAGAGTTCAAATGTTGGGCAGATTATTTACCATGTCTAAGCTTCAGTTTATTCACTTTTGAAAATGTGTGTGTGTGTGTGTGCACGCGCTTGTGGGTCACAGACATAACAGTGGCAGCACGTATCTCTCCTGCATCCCTGTTTATGGCCTCCTTTCAGAAGCAGTTCCTTCCTCCCAGCAGCCAGCCCTACAGGCTCCCCCATACCTCGCAGGTGGAGCGTTGAAGCTTTATCACACCTCTTTTGCTTGTTAACGTCTCCGTATTCGTTCATCTTTATTTAACCAGCCATCATGTGAAAGCAGATGTTAGGAAGGGTTAGAAGATGGATTGGGCTTTGTCCCTACCCTGCTTATCTTCAGGAACATCCCCTGAGGGGAGGAAGTTGTCCTATCCATTCTCAGCCATTGCCATTCCTGCTCATAAACATTCAGGTATAGGGGTCCTCTCAGCTCCCTGAGTCTCCCTGGCCATGCTTATCTCGCCCCTCTCAGAGCACTGGTCACATCTGGAGTTGTTTTCTAGTTGAACACTTAGCTCAACTCTCATTTTTCTCTCCTCCTATGTTTTTGGTATAAGGAAAGATCCTTGTCTTCCACTTCTGTATTTTCCAACAACGCCTAACATTCTTCTGAGCACTGAATGGATGCTCAGTTGCTAAATTATTGCCATTTCTCATCCCAAGTTCAAAAGGAACCCATGCTTTTTTCAGTCCACTGACCCTTGATCTTTGGTTTTCTGGTTTTAAGCCTCTGTTGAGGACTTCCCGTTTGTCTGAAATTAATGGAAAACCTTTTTTCTGTTGTCATTTCAGCATAGAGCTGACATGTTAGTGTTACTTAATTCTATTTGATTCTGGTGGAGGCCTAACATAATCCCTCTATACAAGCAACTTGGCACATTTCTGTGACTTTTCTTTATCTTCCTGACTTTTGGCACCCTGGCATCCCTAATCTAAGGAAGGGATGGTGAGCCATGCAAAGCCTCTTACAGAGAACCGCGTGCTTTGTCACACCCTGCGAAGATTGCCCTCACAGCTGGCGGCAGAACAAGTTGGGACAGCGTGAGGGAGTCCCTGGAATGTGCAATTTTAAAAGCATCAAAGTCACTCAGTATCCTGGAGGTAGTTCTAATACACTGTCTTTGCAGTGAGCTCTTAAATGAAGCTTTAAAAAAAACACCCAAGGATTTTAGGAACCTTTAAAAATGTATTTGTAGCTATAAACAGGAATAGATAAAGTTTCAGAGTTATCACGGTGGCTCTCATCCTAATGATGTGGGCTAATGTGCTTCTGTAAAATAGGTAATGTTTCAGTTGGTTTTGCACCTAGGACATGCTTAGGGTCAGGCTAGACATTCAGGTGTCATCAAATTTTAACAGACAATACATTACATAGTTTTGTTTTTTTAAAAACATTACATGCTTATTATAAGATGTTGAAACAATGCAACAAAGCTCAAATAAGAAGCTAAATATCATCAGGTTCTAAATATCTCTCTGTGCATAGACTATTTTGCATAAATATTCTGTAATCTACTTTTTTATTTTATAATAGGTTGAAATGTATTTCCCTGTTCCCAAATGTAGCTCTAGTTCATCATTTGTAAAAGGCAGTACATATCCCACTGTAGATATGTATCATCATTTACTGATCCATTTGCCTTGATGAGAGTTTCGCTATTACGATTTTTTTTTTGTACATAACTATATTCACAGTCACGACTTTATCTCTCTCAGGTAAAATCTTAGGAATGACTTTCTAGCTTAAAAGATATGCATACTATATAATTTGGTATACAAATTGCTTCCCATAATTTTACCATTTTATCCAGTCTCCAAGAGGAAACATATTAATCACATCCATGGTTACATAAAGAAACTTGTCAGACAATGCTGCTGGCTGCGTCCAGCAGGCCTCCTGAGACCCTGGGTGGGTTTCATAGTCCAACACGGGAGGTTGGGTTTGGAAATTTGAAGACTCGACCTTCTTTACCTCATCCAGACTGATACTGTTTCTTGAAGACAACTCTCACATTATCACAAGAAACATCATTCCTGAAAAATGACCCTTGGGTGTTATTTTTTGGTACCAGTGCCCCTCCTGTCCTCTTTTCTATGCACCATTATTTTGGGGAATTGAGATTTTTGAGAATCTAAACAATTCAATTTGTAGTTCCCTTGGTAATTATAAAATGTGAGAAAAGGGAGGCTGACAAACGTAAGGGAAATTTATCTCCATCTTACAAGACATTAGTCCTCTGTGGTGCTTGTATTTAGGGCAAGATCGATGCGTTTCTCTTTTGAACAGAACTGTATGAACACTAATGGAAGCTTTCTCTCTGCCTGC